CTCTGCAGGACTGCGGCTCTCTAGGACCGAACTTGCCTACTCCTGTCCTAATGGAATATGTCCCAAAACACACTACAGCTAATGGTTTTAATGGTATTTGTAGTGGAAACCATTCGAACTTCTGTGATGGTTTATATTGTGTGAAACAATAGAAAGGAAAGGATGTCTTGCACAGGACACTGTGTGAATCAGGCCAGTGCTGTTTTACAGAAGTTCACATGTGGTACACCATAGATTTAAATCATCTGGTTCTCAGCACATCTGTTCTTCATAACAAGCAAAGCTAACGTATGGCTTCATGAGAGTTGCTCAACCATGCCCATGGAGCTTTTTTTATTATTATTCCCACTGTTGTTCACATGCTGAAAATATTCCAGTGCAGACTTTTTACATCAAGCAGGACAGTTGGGAACTGGGCCGCGCTTTTCCATTCAAAAAATCCTGGGCCGGTGCCAAGATCCTGGTTCTGAACAAATTTTATAAAAACACAGCCAGCACAAAACGAGAGAACGAGTGTAGGGGAATGTAAATAGTCCAAGTCCAAGAACTGTATATACAACGTTTGAATCCGTCTCACCGGGGCATGTCCATGAATGAATGTCTAAGAGCAGTTCCAATGAAACAACCGAAACTGTTATAATCCTCCCTGGTGAGTAATTCAAAGTCCAAAAAAAAGTGAGGCAGCAGTATACAGGTGCATCTCAATAAATTAGAATGTCATGGAAAAGTTCATTTATTTCAGTAATTCAACTCAAATTGTGAAACTCGTGTATTAAATAAATTCAACGCACACAGACTGAAGTAGTTTAAGTCTTTGGTTCTTTTTCCACGACATTCTAATTTATTGAGATGCACCTGTACTCCAATAACAGTTCGGTCAATAATCCACATACTCACTGCAACCCGGGCAAAAATGAGCAGAGCGAGCACAAATGCTGTCTAACGCCGGCAAGCCAGCTACCTATATAGTAAAGAAAAAACTTCCGTGTTATGGTCACGTGACCACCATGACACACGGTGACATGCAGAATCTCGTGAGACAACTTCATCCGGGAATAACACACACACACACACACACACACACAGAGGCAATAACACAGAAAATGGGGCGATAATTATAATAAATGATCAACAATGCATGAATGTTAATCAAAAACAATGAAAATAAATGTGGCATTGCTACACTAGTTCAGTAATTCCTGTGGGTGGAGTTTGATCTGTTCACCTGGATGTTTGAGTCGTTTCACCCCATTCCTCCTATGAGCTTCCCATCTTCATGGAGAGACAAAGCAGAAATAACTGATTTATTTATTTCAAAGTAGAGTATTTTCAATGCATCATAATCTATCTGAAACAATCTATGCTGTTTAGTATGCAAGAACTAGATTACAGTTAATGCATCACAAATCAGAGTACTATAAAAATAGTAGTAGTTGATGATGGGGCAAGATAGCCTTCATTTAACATAACAGATGGAAAAATATCTACATAAGTATACACATAATCAAATGCAGTG